ATGACCCTGCACAATACTGTGAGGAAAATTGACTCTGCAAAAGCCTACGTCACACCGCCTTCTTATTTTCTGTCCATTGATAAACTTTTCCCCATATTTTGCAACGACAAATTTCACAGCAAAGGTCCACATTATGTCAGCTTTCTCATATTGAGAGCTCTGCTATGCCACTGTTGAATTTTCCCAAAAAGGGTTTTTTTTCCTCCCAAATTCTGCTTCCTTGGAAAGATTCGGCAATAGCTTTGTAAGTGATGTGGACATAATTGCCTATAATTATGAAAATCTAAAGGATTTTTAATGTTTAATTTCCCCCAACATGTTACGACACCTTTTTTCCAGGCAGATCATTTGGAGTGTGCGAGTGTGTGTGCACATGTTACAAAGACATCTACCATGTTAATAAACTATTCAATTTGAAATCCTTTTCGGTATTTGAATTGCTTTGGAATAATGTTTTTTATCCAGATGTAACGCTGTTGCATTAGCTTTTTAACTTTCCAAGTAACCTAAATATTTGATTACTTGGACTTTTCTAAACTCCTCAGCCTCCCCACACACACGGAGTTTTAAATGAGGCAATTGGGCAGTTGACCAAGTTTGTATTAAAGGAATTAGTTTTACCCCTTCCTTTTGGTCTTTAATACATTCTTAAAATTAAATACCTTCATGCAAATGTGGCATCTTCATTAGCTTTATATCTCTTTATATCTACAGCAAAGTTAGGCTGACTTGACTTGTTTACTTAGACACAGTAAGTTGGTTTTGAATGCTAGAACTACATATTGTGTCATTATAAAGTACAGCATAATTAAAATTCTTAACCGCAGAAAATGTTAACAACCGGTAAATCATTGGAACTTGCAAAAACAAGAGAATTGTGGCAATAGTGCCTATTAGCATTCATAAGAGCTACACTTTGTGGGAGAACTGGGCCAATAAAAAAGTGCCAGTAACTATAAATTACTCAGTTCACTCTAAGTTAGAAGGCTGGATAATCCTTGCTGTTTTAAAGATCAGTCTGAGTTGAGAAGGGGAGAGATTATTTAAATCCCTAAGAATTTGCACATACTGAAATTTGAGAGGGGGCAGAATCAAGCACAGTCTGTAAATTTTTGCATATCAGAGCAATTTAAGCTTGTGTGGGCTAGTGAAGAGTTTTCTTGAGAAAGTAAAAACAAAACTGGTTCAAAATGAATTTTCCTCAATACAACTTGAAGGAGCTACAAAACAAAACCTTTTTAGTTATAATTTGAAAGTGAACTGGCTTACAATTACCATCCTGATTTTTAACCATTAGGATGAAAATGGACTTCCCAAAGTATTAATACATTTCTCCATTATTAAAGTTTATTCCAAGCTTCTTCAGAATAAACTAAATATTTTGAAGTTGTACACCTAAATATTGGTGAGCCCATCCCTTCCTCAAAAAGTTTACAGGTGAAAAAAAAGACTGTGCTGCAGTTCACAGAATTCCAGAACTTAAAACAGGTTTACCCTTTTTGTTTCTTTGTAACTGTGGAATTCCCATTCATTTCACTTAAGGCTACATTGTACGGACAGAGCAAGCTGTTGTCCTTCAGTTTCATATGACTACACTTGTAGCTACCGTAATGCATGAAATTTAAATAAATTTTATTATGTCTGCAAATCTCTGGGCTTTTTTTTTTTCCCCTGGGAAATCTGAGAGTTTTAGACAACTTTTTTTCCCAACCAAGTGAACAAAACCAAAATGGAACAATTCCTTAGATCTTAAACCAGTGTAAAAATTAAGTTAAATTCTTTGATTTTTGTTTTTCTGAATTGACTAGAAATTTCCGAGTGTAAAACTTTACTGTCTTGAAATGTTTTTAAATGCTCTCCTTAAAATAGTACTTTGAGAAGTCAGGAATCTAACAATGAAAGACAGGGGGGCGGTTTCCTAAAACATTTTTAAAAACATTGAAAGGCAACTAAATAATATTTGAACTGAATTCTTTTGAGCAAACTTAAAATAAATATCAAAACTTTAATAGCTTGATCGTGAATTTGAAAGGACTCATCACTGAAAACAGAAAATCAATGGATGGAAATTTAACAGTACATGGAAATTGCAAGGATTTCTATAACCCGTTCTATCTTAAGGCTAGTGCATTTGACTACCACTTCCATAAATTAATTAAAACTGCCTTGTATGTAAAGGGAAACTGAATTAAGATTGAAGTGCATTGGCAATATGTTGAATCATAGCTTGTAGATTCTGTTCAGCAATACAAGTTTTTGATCAGACTGTAAAGTGTTTGAATATTATCAAACTTTAAGCTTATTAATAGCAAAATGCAAAACAAAGTCTAGGACAATTGGCTGCATTTTTAGGTATGAGAACTAAATGTATCTATATACCTTTATCAGATTCTGAATCTCTGAATCATCCTCTGATTGCATCTCAACTTCAATGTACTTCATTCAATTGTCATACCACATTGTTAGTCCATTTTTTTACTACAATTGAAAAGAGCTAAATTTAGGTCAATGAGGAAAAAGGAATGGTTCAGCTGCTTTGTTTTGAAATAAGTACTACTTACTAATAAATTCATCGGTGTAATAAACTTTTTAAACAATCATTTTGAATACTTATTTCCTTCTATGAAAATACATGGTGTATTATTTTGAAAACAAAAGAAATAAAGGATTTATCCATTGGAGAAAAAAAAAATGTAAATTAAGACAAAGAGTTGGATTGAGACCATATCTACACTAGGAGCAATTTGTCCAGTATAGCTAGGCCAACACATGACACTGGCAAAACTCTCCTCTTGTGACTGCAGCTTATCCCTGCAAAACTGATCCACGAAGCAAATGAGCTTTACTGACAAAGCTCAGTTTTTATGGTATAATTGCATCTACACCAGGAGCTTTTGCTAGAATAGCTATGCCGGTCAGGGCTCTCACAGCTTCAGACCCTATGTTGGCAGAAGTCTGTAGTGTGGATATGGCTTTATTGTATAGCCATGACTTAACTTATCAACAAACAGATTATTATGATGATAGTGAATGATTAAGACCTTGTATGTTCTTGAAATAAAAGCCTTGATATATGTAATAATAATTAAATGCAAAAAGTCTTTTAACGTGAAGTAGTAGAGTTATTATTTTGCAACAGAAAATGATCGTTTATTCTTTCCTGCTACATGCAAGAAGAAAAAGCAAGGAGAGGACACACACTGGGGCACAGGGCCTGCTTATCAGCCAACTGAGAGCTTACCACATATGTATAGTCATGACAAAGGATCAAGAATTGCCACCCAAAACTTTGAGAGCAACAGTTCTCTTGGAATTGTTAAGCTTCACTAGCACTAGCCATCCACTGGAGACAACTTTGCTCTTCTTCCCAAAAAGGCACCCGCCCCCACGCTATTCTATGGAGATGACGCCTCAAGAACCTTTGCTAGCAAAATAGATGGAGACCACTACAGATTTTTCAGTGGCACACGAAGCCCAGCTACTGCTTAAATATTATATTCAGAGTGAGAGAATATACCCTTTATTTAAAAAAAAAAAAAAAATCTGTAGCTGTATCAGGCATTTTCAGAGAATGGGGAAGAGCTTCAGTAATTTGAATGGTTTATCTTGACTTTATGTAAACAACCTGCACCAGAATCCCCATGGCTAGAGCTTGTAAGGAAAAATGGACCAATACAATTCTAGTTCCTGCTGGAAATTCCATTTACGCAGTTTATTTCACCCTGTGAGGAAGAATCGCCAATGGTTTTCAATGAAAACCCAGGGGCTGTGGTCTAGTTTAAATATGTATCTGAGAATATTTTGATCTTGGCCTAACTGCCAGAGTCTCTGCCACCATGTATATTTTTCTGATTCCATGTGGCCCTTGCCTATATATCTGTCCTTGCTAAGAAAAAAAACAAACTTGTTCCTGACTTCTACCACCAGCTGGTTTGTCAAAGAATGTTTAGATGGGTAGTGAAGGCTCAAGATACCACTTTAAAAAAACCCCTAAATGCCTCCATATTGTCAGGCTGTTCTAATCTAAGGAAACGCAGCACTGGTTTTAGGGGTATCAACAATAACACCCCCCTCCCCAAACCTGCCCATAGTCTACAATAGGCACATTCATTTTAAGTGTGTATAAAACTCTTTGTATGTTGTATTATACAGTAACATCTTACCATGCTTTGAAAGTATTTGTTTTTAATATTGCACTGGGTAAGAGAATGTATCTATCCCTCCTACTCTTGATGTTTGATTTGTATTTCCCAGAAGCCTGTTTTGGGAGAAGGAAAGAGAATGAAGTCTTATAATTTAACAGAAAATATTCCTACTGAATGAAGGTTTTTCTAGTCTCCCCAAGAACAAGTCCCTTGGATATTGTTCACTGTTTCTAATGTATACAAGTTTCTACATAATCTTTGCTTGTGTGGGTTAGGCAAGTTACACATGCAGTCTTGATGGCATGTAGATTTTGGGGACCTGGAAAATCCCCCAAAATTGGAATCCATAAGTACCATGAAATAGTCTTATTTTTAATCTTGGATATAGCTGAATTTATAAAATCTAGGGCTTCCTACATGTAAGAGGAAACTTCAGGATTTCTTTTATATTAATTTTAATGAAAAATAAACTTTAAAAATAGGGATATCTGGAAAACATCCTTTTGGATTACTAGTCAGCTGGAACGCTCAGCTGTTCTGTCATTTCAGACATCAGCATATTAATGGATGTGGGTTGTAGCTGGGTCAATACAGATAGAAAACTTCCAGATGTGTGTGTGCTGAAGATAACTCTAAACCTTGATGCCGGTTTATCAGTTAAGTGCTGCTGCGGTTATGGATTGTTCGATACGACAGATGTATTCGTCAGTTTTGTGAACTTTATAAATTAAATGTTTACTTACAGTGTATGCAATTAATAGTCTAACAACATTCGACCTCTAACCTGGCTCTTGCTCAAATCCTATCCCAATTAACCATGTTCCACTTTTAATTAAATATGGCTGCAGTGTCGAGTTCAAAACTTGTAAAACAACAATACACCTGCGTGAGACTGAAAACTAGCTAGGGAGTCTGACAGCACTCTCTCCTTGTCTCTTATTGATGAGAGCAATGCTATGCTAACAGACCAGAAACATTTTGGACATAAATTATTTAAATGAAGCTTCTGGCTTACAGTAATATGAAGTGATTTATTTTCATAGAGGCTTTTTACAGACTCTACTCGCATTCTCCTTTTGCACGTGTTGCCGTGGGTTTCATTATTATAAATGACAGACTGCTCCATTATTCACGAACCTCTGCTTGCACTCCATCTATTTCAAGGCGTATGAAACTCCCCACAGTCATCTCACAACCTTGTCATCTCACCGGTGTAGGAAGGAATTTCCCACCTAGCGGTTGGCTCCAAGAGCCCTTCCTTCCCTCCTCCAACGCTTTTATCTCGCTTTGTGACGGAAATCAGATTGGAAATGCGAGTTTCATCCGTCGCACATGACACCTCTTCCCAGCAAATCCCAGCACGGCAGCTAGATTCACTCTCGGCTCTCGCCAGCGCTACAAACCGGACTCAAGTCCTGAGCGGCTCCACGGGGAGAGCCAGGCAGGTTCCTCTTCCCCCGCGACTGGCCGCTCTGACTCCGAGCCGCAGAGCCACGTGCTCAGCTCGGATACGCGCCCTTCGGGCCTGGAAAAGCCACGAACAGACGCCCCTCGCCCGGGCGGGGGAACCGGCCGCGGCCCCGGCCTTGCCTCGAGCTACGGCCCGTCCTGCTAGGCGGCCGGGGTGGGGGAGAAGGCAGCGGACAGCACAGGTGGCCCCGGCCCGGAAGTGAACGTGAGAGGAAATCCCTCCCCGGAAGTCCGCCTACTCGCGCTGTGACGCCATCCGGGCGCGCCGACTCCACGTGGGTGCGGCCGTGGCGGTTTTGCACGTGCGCTCGGTGCCATGGCGGAGCCGGTAGAGGGGCTGGACCGCGCGCAGGTACTGGGCCGGAGGCAGCGCGGGGTGGCGGGGCGGCCCTCGGGGCCGGGGCTCGGTCGCCTCGACTCGAGCTGCCCCCGGTGCTTGTGCTCCTGCAGGTGCGAAAGGCCGTCCAGGCTCTGCTCGCCTACGTCGCGGCCCGGGCCAGCGCGGAGAAGCCGCTCCTGGGCGGGAGCGAGACCCTCTACTTGATGGTGACGGTGTGGAAGATCCCCCCGCTCGAGCGTTCATTGTTCATGTGAGGACTCGGCCCTCCGCGCTGCCTTCTCGCGGGGCTCCTCTCGCCGGGAGCGGGCGGTTTCTTCGGTTGGAGGGACCCGAGCTCGTTGTGGGGCCTGTCGGGGGCCGCATCCGTTTCCCTCCCTCTAGACCGTGGCAGAAGCTAGACTTTGCCCGGGGCCCTGAGGCTCAGTTGTAGACCCAGACCCAGACCGCTGCTGAGGCTGATGCTGATCCCGTGGGGCCTGTCCAGGTCCGCAGCTGAGCGTCAGGGCCTCGGATGAACTGTGGCTTCTGCTGGGGTCTGGAGAGAAGGAAGGAGACAGGGAGAAAAGACGAAGATGATACCATCTCCCAGCGCAACAGCAACTCCTACCTGGGTGCACAGGGTCTGGGTCGGGGCTCTGGGTGGGCAGCGAGTCAGCAGTGTTTCTTATAGTTTCATAGTAGCTAGGGTCAGGAGGGACCTGAACAGATCATCTGTCCTGACCCCTGCCACAGGCAGGGATGAATGCTGGGTTCACAAGACCCCAGGCAGGTGATCATCCAACCTCCTCTTGAATTTGCCCAAGGTAGGAGCGAGGACCACTTCCCTGGGAAATTGGTTCCAGATTTTGGCTACCCTAACTGTAAAAATATTGCCTTCTGATCTCTAACCTAAACCTATTCTCTATCAGCTCATTACCATTGTTCCTTGTCACCCCAGGTGATGCTGGGGAGAAAAGGGCTCTACCTATTTGCTGTTGATCTCCCCTGATGAGTTTGTAGGCAGCCACCAGGTCCCCCCTCAGCCTCCTCTTG